TCTTCTCTCTCTCTCTCTCTCTCTCTCTCTCTCTCTCTCTCTCTCACACACACACACGGGATTAGATTTTTTAAATATAAACATTTCGATACATGAATTTGTTGTGTGCCACTGAGTGTTATAAATGTTGCAGATGTTTTAATCAAATCGATAGAGACAGGGATGTGACGTTTTCAATAGGGAGAAGATGATTTTTCAAAAATGAGAGAGCTTCAATAGATTTATTTATAAGATTCTTTCAAATTAACAAATGTTTTGTTAAATTTTTATCAATATAATGGAAATATCAGGAATTTGTTAAAAACCCCAATAGGATTATTACATTATTAATTATATAATTTATAGAAACGTACATAGACACAAGGAAAGAGAATGTGCAATAATGAATGTATGATAATGTTCTTATTTTGAACTGGTGAAATAAAAAATATGCTGCTAATATAAATAAATAACAGTTGATCCATTTGCTACAGTTATACAGCTTTGTATATATAATAATAAAAAATTAGCAGACAATCCTAATAAAATATTTAATACCTAAAAATATTTCGTGTTTACTTACTTTTAACTTTTGTGTTTTTCGCTTCGAACATACAAAACTATTAATAAATAATGATTAATGATGGAAATATCGCTGTCATTGAGTTCTAGTTTGATAAGTTCCAATTAGATATTATTGGTTGCTTAAATAAGGATAGCTCTTTTTTTAAATAAGGATAGCTCTTTTTTACAAATATAACATAGAAGTATATGCATCTGCGCAGTTTCTGTTGTTTTCTGTTGTTTAAAGCAAATTAGAAATCGAACAGAATATAAATTGCGATATATACATAATACATGTTATTATTAAAAAAGAACATACAGTGATTATGTCCTGTGTAACAACAAATTTGTTTAAATAAATAGATAATTTTTAAAGTAAGATTTAATTTAATGCAGAGATTGTTAAATAAAAAGAATGCGTCGAGTTAAAAATGTCCGGTCACAAGAACGCAAAATTGATTCTTCTAGAGATAAAAGTGACTTTTTGGTTTCTTGGATGATAACACGGACAATCTATTTTCTTTCATTTATCACATACTGCAAGCAAACAAGGGATTATCTCGCGACAATTTTTCTCGACTATCTACGAGAGATATATGAATATCTCCGAGTGTTTCTTCAATTCCGAAATTTTTTTTGTACATTTTACTTGGATATTCGTATTTTCTAAGATAAACCGTCCCGACGACGTATGTGTTACTTAAATACATGACTTAAATGACGAATTTTGTCATGTCGCTTGTATACTTCCACGTTAGAAAGAGCGTATCAACCGCCGCTTTAAATATTACATGTCGATGGATGAGGGCAGATGTTCCGCTCTGCGTATTCAATTCGAGAAATCCTATATACGGAATATACGGAAATACATGTCGTGTACGTGCAGGTAATCGATCTATCGACAGTCCCGCGGACTCGTTTTAGCGCCTCTCGCTTTCGAGGGGGGGGGGGGGGGAGGTCGAGCCTCGAGCCGGCAGAGGCGTCGACAAAAGCGACGATGTGCTACGCCAGCGCGATCTTAATTATCGTTTGAATAACCGCACAACGGTGAGCGGTGCGTACATACATTTTGATAGAATACACCGGAAGCAATTAAAATCCGCCGCGAAAACGATCTCCATTCCCGTGCGGAATAGCTTCGGCGGAAATAATGAACCGACAATCTGGGAATGCGGTAAGAAGTAAACGAATCGCTAAGTAAATCTTCCGTAAGGGCCGGCCTGAGCCTGAGGTAAGAGGATACTGGCTTAATTCCAACGGAGATGCGGGCAAGCTTGATGAAATATAGATAAGCAAATAGATACGCGCGCGTATATACGCTATCGTGCACGTAAATGATCGGTGTATACACATATCGGTATACACGCGACCTTGTCTACCTCGCGATTATTTTTATTATTTTTCTTCTCTCTCTCTCTCTCTCTCTCTCTCTCTTTTATTTCCGCATCTTTCCAGAATGATTATTGTTTCAGTACTTTTCGTACGTTAACCTCTTAATAGAGCACACGTACGAAGGTAACTTGATGAACTATGCACGAAGCACGTAATCGGCCTCAGCGCTTCGTGACGTTTGCGTGAAGTATGGTCGCGCGTGTTGGAAGTTACTTTCGTAACTGCACATGCGAAAGGTGAGAATAAGCGGATATTTTTACGTATTATTATGTATAATTGCGATACAGGAGCTCGCGGTCTTAATAAACAAATTTAAGATTACGCTCGACATGAACGCGAGCCGTGCCGTTTAACGATCCTGTGAATTTTCATTCTTTTTTTCGTGTTTTTCGAATTGAGAAAATTATAAAATCGATATTCAAATCCTCAAGTTATTGGCGGACAATAACACGTGAATGAAACATTCGCGAATATAAATTTTAACGTGCCGAGTGCGAACGCTTCGCATTTAAACCAGTCGCGGTTTCTCAATGCCCGACGCTCGCCCGACGGTCACGTGACCTCTCAACGTTCGAGTCTCGTCGCTACATGCGTATCGCTCTTACCGCTTTTTTCCGACTGCTGATATATTTATGTGCTCGATTTTTGAACGCTATGGAATATTCTGGCACGAATAGAGATACAGTGAGAAATAAAAACATATTTAGAAGAGATTTTTGGCATTGTAAATATTTCAATAAACAATAATAAAATCGTCGCGCGACGAGACGCGTTCGATAAATAATAATCAATCAAATGTCGATTCTGAAATCTTACTTGACCTCTATGACCAAAATCTCCGGTACGATTTTGTAACTTGTGGATGCTGCAGTTGCGGACGAGAAATATTGTCTACGCCAAACGCCGCGTTTCCATTGAAGCGAAGGAACGCTTGCGTCATTTCGGCCGCGCACGAATATCGCGTTGGTTACTCGGAGTACCGCTGCAAATTTCAGCGCGGGTGAACGTCGGCGGGTGTGCCCGAGCGGCGAATTCGTCGGAAGGCAAGGAGATCGGCGAAGGTCGCGCGAACGGCGTCGCCCGTCGCGAAACGCAGCTTCAACGGCGTAGCCCGCCTTGGTAGCCCAGCCTCTCTGTTTGACAACTACGCGCGTATTTTGCGGCCGCGTCCGAGCACGGCCGAGGACGGCCGACGTCGGCCGAGCAGCCAGCGGCCCGAGAGAGACTAACACGGCGACCCCGGTGTCCGTCCGTGTTTAGTGCGCGTACGTGCTTCATGTGTGTGTGCGTGTATGTGCGCGCGCGCGCGCGTGTATATCGGAGAGCGTACGTCGGTGTATAAGCGTATAACGCGAGAGAGTCGGTGCGCCTCTCGGCCGTGGGCACGAATCGCGAATAAAATGGAAGCGGAATTTCGCTGCGAGGTTGAGGTCCGTCGTTGAGAACAGGCGAACATGGGAAGGTCCAAGTTTCCCGGGAAGCCGCCGAAGACGGCCACCAGGAAACGGATCAAGGTGCTTGGCCAGCCCGAGGCAGCGCAGAACGATCCGGTAACTGTCGCCGAGAACATCTACTACGGACTTTCCCTGTTCAACGAAACATTCGGCGACAACGAGAAGGTGAGGGGGAAAAAAAGAAAAAGTATTGTCGCGCCGAGGCATCCGTCGTCGCCATCGGCGTCGCTGTCCACCGTCGCCGTCGTTGTCGCCGCCGCCGTTGCCGCTGCCGCTACCGCCACCGCCACCGCTACCGCCACCACCGTCGTCGTCGTCGTCGTCGCCGCCACCGCCGCCACCGCCGCCGCCGTTGGCCCTCGCGCCTGTTGTCGCCGTCGACATCGTCGTTGGCCGCCGAGGTCGACAAGCGTCGCGTCGCGTCGTGGTGCTTGACGCACCGCGTCTTGAGCGACTCCACGCGTCTCGTCCGGCATGAGCGTCGCACGAGGACACACACCTGGTGCACGCCTCGTACGACGCCAGCCGACGATCTTTGGCGCGACGTAGCGCGTAGCGGGTTAACCTATCGGTGACGGCGGCGGCGACGGCGACGGCGACGGCGGTCGTGGAATGGCAGGTGCGCGACCATTCGTGTTCACGGTCTTTTTACCTGCCATACGATGATTCATTTCTAGCTTCAGCGTTGCCTCCCCTTCCGTATGTCGGTCGAGCGATATTTCGTTATATTTTATCCCAGCTGCTTTTGGTACGGAGCATGTCAGCGGGACGTGCCTTCTGAAGTTCTTGCTCCGTAACTTTTTAGCAGCGTAAAAATATGTAAAGTCTTTTTTACGTCGTTGACGAATAGTCAAGTTTGTTAGAGGAAATTGTCATGTAGAAAAAAATAGATTCTTCTTTGTTTGTTTGTTTCGTTATACATTACATTGTTTACTTTCCCAATTTGATTTTTCCATTATATATTTAAGTATAAGGCATCTGACAAATGATTTATTATGATACGTTGAATAATTTGTCATTTCTCTAATACTTATATAAATAATCTTTCCTTAGGAACATCCACCATTCCACGGATTTAGCACTAAAGAGGCTAATCTTTCTGCGTCTTATATAAAAACACAGCAACAGGATGCAGAGAAGACCAGTGATAAATTGCCATCTGTCACAGTTGAAAATCTTACACCACAATCCAGCACGAAGAAGGACGTTACTGATGATAAAAATTCTCCTACAAACATCGAAAACAGCGCAGTGGAGCTTATCAACACAAATTCAAAACCAGTTAAAGACATCACAGAACCAGTTACAAATCTGAATGCTAAACACACTCCAAAGATTCATAAAGCTAAAAGTCGTAAATCGAGTTGTAAGAACATTAAGTTTTCAAATTATCTAAAAAGCCCGGTGCTAAAATCAGTGAACAATATCTTGGATCAACATCAAAGAACCAGACAATTACGTAATAGTACTGCAAAAAGATTGCTTCAAAGGGCGAAATCTAATGGAAGTAATGCGCGTAATTTGGTGGTGCAATCCGGAGAGAAGTCTAGTTCGGTGAGGAAATTTGTTTTACCCGTTCGCAGCGTGCATTCATCGAGAGTTATAAAGCCAAATAAGAGATTCATCGAGGAACTGGAAGAAGTTCCTAACACAGCGGAGCACAGCGAGAACGAAATTAGTACGCATGTAAAAAAGACGAGATTAAATCCGGATAAACTTAGCAACTTGGAATCAAAATTAAAAGGCGATGCAATTAGTAAGTGTACAAAATTTAAAAAAAAAGACGTGAAAAGCAAGCTGAAAAGAGCGATTCAGAATGTAGACTTCAATGATGAGATTACAACTCAACCGGTGAAAGTTACGGAGAAATCAACGAGTTCTGTACAAAACGCACAAATATCAAAACTCACTCATAGAGAAGTAAAAAAATCGCATACTATATCGTGTAAGAATAAAGTATCAAACAGCACATCCGACAATTCTAATAATAATCAAGAATGCTCGCAAAACTCGAGCAGGACGGCACAAACCGCGAAATCAACAATTCACAGAAATCAGAAGCAGATTTCTATTCCTACAAAAGTTCTTCCCGATTCCAATGTTCCACACTTCGAGTCTTCCAGGGTTCAGACGAGATCAGGAACTCAAAACGAGATGGCGAATGATTTAAGTAATCAGGTGAGCTTTGAAAGTGGTGCAGGATCAACGGAAAGTGGCTGTGCGAAAACCGAAGATCAGCCTGAAAGTGGTGATAAGACTGTGGTTAGTACATTGAACACTTTAGAAGCAGAGAATAATTTATCTGAAAGCGAAAGCGAGCATAGCGATCATTCAGAAAGCGAGCAATCCGATGTCAGTGGAATGAAACTCAACAGTGGGAAAGTTATATTGAGGAAAGCAAGATTAAAGTTGGATAACAAGTGCTTAGCTGGAACAGAAGGACCATTTTCAACTACGAGCACTAGTAACACCATGGGAGGAAGCACTAATTTAGGTATCTCATTTTATGACAATTTCGAAGTTTTACTTATTATTCTTATATTTCTAACGCGTAAAATTATCTTGTTCTCTAATTTATAATAACTTTTTTAACGTTTCAGGATTAACAGGAACTATAAAATGTGGTGTTTGCGGTGCAGTGCGATTCTATCGATTCGTAAAACAAGCGCGCAAGTTTGGTATTCACAGTTGCGAATCTTGTCGAAAATTTATAAGCAAGATGATCAAACGTCAAGCTTGCGCCAAATCTTCAAACAATGTCCTTCCCGTTCTCCAGTGTCATAAAGGTGACGGTCTGTGTTTAGTTCCGCCCGTTGTGAGGAGTCAACAATGGAATCTCATGAGATGCGTTTATAAAGCCAGATGTCCGGCGTGTTGGTTGAAAATGTGTTTAAAATGTTACAACATTCCATCTGCCTTGAGGACAGGTTTAAACGCGTTGTTACCACCGTTAATGAGAGATCCCTTAAGTATTTCTCTGCCCCTTGGTCACGACGAAGATGGCCAGGGGCAAAAATTGGCTTCGTCTAAACTCAGTTGGCCCGCGGAAGACAGCTCGGAAAGAAATTTGTTCAAGTCCGCCATGAGTTGGAAAAACTTGGAAATAGGACAGAAACCGAGTTATCAGGGTACCGGAGGCTTTCTCTATACAAAAATAGACAAATGTAAGAACCAATGTGATTTTTATCTTATCCATATTTTTCTTTTTGTTTTTGAGAAATTGTTTATTTATATTCACATGATATAATTTTGTTGTAGTCGATTCCTCGGTGAGTATATCGCCTAATAAAAAGCGAAGGAAAAATAACAGGATTAAAGTAAGGAAGAAAATTAAAAGTCCAGTACTTGCTTCCTCGTCTGGTAGCCAATATTCGCAACCTCTTAGACAAAGGCTTGAGTTAAAAGGACCGAGAGTTAAGCACGTTTGTCGAAGCGCCAGTGTCGCGCTTGGACAGCCCATTGCAACTTTTCCCACTGTAGACGCGAAAGAAGACAACGAACATAGCAAAAACATTCCAAAGACAGTGAAGGAAACCGAGAGAACAGAGAAGAGAGATGACATTACAAAAGGAAAAGAAACACAGAAGCATAATGAAGATAGTAATTTAAATCTTAACGTTAATGCAACACAACAGTCTCATCCGAGAAGAGGAAAACCGCAACAGACTATATCAACATCGCATTTTCCAGTGGTAAGATATCTTTCTAAATAGAAAGAAGTGATCCAAGTATGTTGTATCAATATTTGCCGGTGGCAGACAGGATATATGAAAGCTTATCTTATTTCGTTTCCTTTGTACGATGTCTATAAGTTGTCTTTATATATCTGTGAATTTATGCTTTTTATTTTATTTATAATTAGATCTAAAATTTACTGCTTATTATGCTTGAATATAATGGAATTAAAGTGATGTGAATGATATATTTATCGCAGATGTCTAAGGCCGCTGTGGAAACTGCATATACAGTTTCCATAGATTTCTGGGAACAATATGATCCTTCTGAGGTCGGAGCGAAAGGTTTTGCCCTTATCGGTTCTGAACTGTTTCACATACCTGCTATTTGTTATCTATGCGGAAGTGCTGGTAAAGAGCCGGTAAGTCATGTATGAAACATCGATCATAAATGGACATGTAACACGTCACGTTTTTTTTTTCGAGAGCTATCAATATAACGATCGTTCTTTGCAGCTGATCCACTGTCAATGCTGTTGCGAGCCATACCACGCCTTCTGTTTGGAACCGAGTGAATGGAATGCTTGTGCTCAGCCAAACTGGTGTTGTCCCCGGTGCACGATATGTCAGTCCTGCCATCTTAGATCCGGTCCGAAATTATCCTGTATTCGTTGTCGTCAATCGTTTCACCATTCATGTTTGTCGAAGTCCGGTGTTAGCTCCAGGTTGTACAGTCCCGATCGACCTTATGTTTGTCAGAGCTGTATCAAGTGCAAAAGTTGTGGTAGCGAGGGTGTCAATGTTCACGTGGGTAATTTACCTCTGTGCTCGATGTGCTTTAAGTTAAGACAACAAGGAAATTATTGTCCTTTATGTCAGAGATGTTACAACGAAAACGATTTCGATACAAAGGTGAGTATGCACGTGTAATAATATTTATGTAGATTAAAATCGCAGTTATACAAAATCTGTATTGTCTTATATAAGTCTACAGTTTGCTTATTACAATTGCACGTGTGTTTCTAGATGATGGAGTGTAGCGAGTGTTCCTGCTGGGTACATGCCCGTTGCGAAGGCCTTTCTGATGAGCGTTACCAGATACTTAGTTACCTGCCCGATTCTATCGAGTTCACGTGCAGTCAATGCTCTTCCAATACAAATCCTTCCATCTGGAGAAATGCCATAGAAGCGGAGCTGAAGGCGGGTTTCATTAGTGTGATCAAATCTCTGAGTAAAAATCGTAAGATTTGCGCAGCTCTCAAATGGAGTCCCAGGAAGGAGTGTCTCTGCAGGCCAATTCCAAGCGTAAGGAAACTTGAATTTCCCGAAGACAAGAGCGAGACGAAGGAAAACGATGAATTGGAGGAATGTAATGGTGATAAATCCGCGGATATCGACTTGAGTTATGGTATAAGTAGATCTGATTTGGAAGAACAGTCGATAGAGAATCCTGGTAGGAAAGGTCTACGACGATTACGACAGAAATTCCATCTAAAAGAATGCTCGGTCAGGGTGAAAAACTGTATTCCGAAAGACAACTCTCAAGACAACGAGAGGAAAGACTGGACAAATCAGGACTCATTAGTTTCTCCGAACGAGTCTCCTGAATGCCATTGTTCCGAGCAGCAGATCATCGCGAGGCCTTCGCCCACTTTAATGTCTGTGAAACGTAAGGTGAATGGTAACGAGTACAAATCGCTGTCGCAGTTTTATTGTGATATGGAGCACGTAATCAATCGTGTCGGTACGAAGGATCTGACGGAAACTTATCACAATATTTTGCAAGAGGTATTTCCTTGGTTTACGCCGAAAAATTTTAAAAGCAGCGATGACAACGACGAGACGTTAACGCCTACTAAGGACGTTAGCAAAGACACTGTGCTGACGACTAAGTTTGATGATTCTATTCTAGAAGCGTGGAAAGAAGAAGTGATGAAAGCGCCGAAAGCGATCGCAGCGAAAACAGCGAATTTATATAATATCCACGTCGAAGACAGCAGATCATGTTGTTTGTGCAAGGGCTTAGGTGACGGACACGAGACGAAAGAGGGCAGGTTACTGTATTGCGGACAGAACGAATGGGTACACGCAAATTGTGCCCTATGGTCAAACGAGGTATTTGAGGAAATCGACGGTTCATTGCAGAACGTTCACAGTGCCATTTCGAGGGGTCGTTTGATCCGCTGCACCGAGTGCGGTAAGAAAGGCGCGAGTATTGGATGTTGCGCGAGGAACTGTAGCAATACTTTCCACTTTCCGTGTGCGAGAAACGTCGGGCTCGCTTTCAACGATGACAAAACGGTATTTTGCACCTTACATTCTAATAGTTACGCTCACAAGTCTTTACAGAATGAAAACGAATTCAGCTTAAAGCGACCGGTATACGTAGAGTTGGATCGTAAGAAAAAGAAGTACGCCGAACCTAATAAGGTCAAGCTGATGATAGGCTCTCTGATGGTCGACTGTTTGGGAACCATTATTCCGGAATTTTCCGATACGATTGAGAAGATAATCCCGTGCGATTACAAATGCTCCAGACTCTACTGGTCTACGTTGAATCCTTACAAAATCGTGAGATATTACATCAGAACGTACGTGCAGGTATACATGCCGGACGTCTCATCCGACGTGGAGAATAATATCACGATCGATCACACCAAGGAGCAGGAAAAGAAAAAAGCGCCTATAGACGATTATCTGGCTGTCAAACAGACTCTAGACTCACTCATCGATATTGTGTGTAACAAAGAAGTTGATGAGAATTTAGCGGAGCAGAACAATACGGATCTCCTACCACCAGAACTAAAAGAAGCGATATTTGAGGATCTGCCGCATGATCTGTTAGACGGAATCTCTATGCAGGACATTTTTCCAAAGATGACATATGAAGATTTTTTAGCTATGGATTTGAAGAACGACGGCTCATTTTCTACGGATTTGTTTAAGGACGATATATTGCCATCGGAAGTTGAAGAGACGATAAAACCGTCAGAGAGCAAGATCTCCAAAATGGATTCATCTTTGCTGGAATTGGGAACGCACAATGATCTGTGGGTTCGATTGGAGGCGAAAACCTCAATGCAAGATCTCATGGATGATCTATTTAATTCAAAAGGCCAGAAACGTGGTGGCAGAGAGCTAAAACGATCTAAATCAGAGGTGATGTCGAATAATCCGTTGATCGTTGGTGGCCAGAGGCATCATCAGCGCTCTTGCAGCCTTACTTGGAGCTGTAAATTAGACAACACTTACGGTCCTAACATGAAGAGACGGAAATTGCCCCGAAATCCATCCAGTACCAAATCCAGCGAAGGTGGTCTTATTGTTCTAGATACGCAAAATGAACGCACCTCGATGTTCCACGAATTGAGGATTCCGGAAAGTATCATGGTCACCGTGGGAAGAGGAAACACGTCTAACATACTATCCGATTCTGTGCGCGAGTTGAAATACTGTATCGAGGATTCTGGATTGAATCGTCGTATGTTGCCAGCGAGAGATGAGGCGAAGGAGCACAAGAGACTGTTTTGGCATCCGAGACAGCAGCAACCGCGAATAGTGCAGGTCGATGGATCGGCTGATGCAAATAGTGCCAGCGAGTGCAGTTCTCCGGAATACAACGCTGAGGAGAAAAGCGCGAATCTGCATACGTCTGAATCACTATCGATCCCGCAATTAGACGGTATTAACGACGAACATTCATCCGATTCGAGCGAGTTAAGTGCGGAGAAAGACCTCGCCTTATACACACGGTCGTCGCCTCTTTTACATTCAAAATGTATCTTCGGCTTCATCAGGTCACACTTGTCGAGTAACGGCGACAAGTCACAAAAAACAAAGTATAGCAACGGTAATCTCGCAACAACTGCTAGATGCGCTTTGCGTAAGGCAGAAGTCTTGTTTAAGGAGAAGAATCTCAAGGTGAATCTGCAGATCCCACAACTGGACGGCGCGGGTGATATTTCAAGTGACGACGAATGCGTTTCATCACAGCACGTGATGGCGCATGAGAGATTGGTCCACACCACGTACGAATCGTCGCCATTCGAACACATCGACCGACCAGTCACTTGTAAAAGATGTTGTTGCACGTATCGTACTCAAGATAGTTATAATCGTCATCTTGCGAACTGCGATATTATGATCACCAGTGACAGCGACTCGGAAACCATGGATAACAAGCTAGCGTCACCGGAGTCGGGATTTTCGCCGAGCATGGGCTCGGTGTCGCCGCAATTCATCACGCTCTCGCCATCCGAAGGCCACACTCTGACGACCGATTACACGGATATTCAGGCGACATCGCCCATCGAGGCATCCGTGCCATCGCCCCACCCGAATATCCAGATCGAGCCGATTGCCCAGGCGATCATTACACCGCAGATTCACGCGACGCATGCCACTGTTGAGACCGTGCATCAGACAGTATTAACGTCCAACGATGTGATTGTGCAAACTCAGTACACTCGCAGGACCACCACTCTGCCGAATCCAGCAGTATTACCTCCTCAAGAAAGCACAGTACAGATAACGGAGATCACAGACCCGCCGTCCGTTTCCAGCGACTCCAACGTTACGGCACACGGCATGGTTAACACGCCGATGAACTCACCGGACAGCACGAGTTCGCAAACCGTCCCAAGCCCGGAGATGTCGCCCAATTTCTCGTCCACGGGTGTACAGACTGCACACGAGTCTGCGCAGACAAATGTACAGGTCGTCCGAGCCTCCTCCAAGTCGAAGAATCTACGGGTGACCAAGCCTAAGACCAAGAGCGTGAAGCCACAGCAGCACGTAGTAAAAAATGTGATACAGACGCCGCACAATGTTGCTCACAATGCCAGATTTCAATCAACGGCAATGCCAAATGGTCCGCCGGTAATCCAACTACATCAAACCGCTCAAAGACCACCCACGGTGATTCTTCAGCAAGTAGCATCGCCAGGGATTGTGTCCGCTTACGTGGAGGCATTACAGCAGCAGTCTGGCCAAAATTTGCAATATATCACAACGATAGGCGGCGGGCAGCATGATGCTGGTTTCAAGCCGCAGTTAATCACCACAAATTCCTTAGTTCCGGGAACCTATATACAAGCGCCTGCTACGGACAATTTGTTAACACTGCAAAATGGTGGTATATCGATATTACCCAGTGTACAAATTGCACAGACGCAACCTACTGTACTGGGCACTATCATACAGCAACAGCCCAGCGCGATTCAGTGCGGCGTTATATCCTCGGAGCAGCTGCTGTTAAGCTCCACGCCCACGCTGGAGATGTTCACCGATCCGACCGGGGGTATGTTTGTGTCGAATCAGCCGATGTACTACGGGCTGGAGACGATCGTCAGCAACACTGTGATGTCATCTAGCCAATTCATGGCGGGCACAGTGCCGCAAGTATTAGCTAGCAGTTACCAGACAACAACGCAAGTGTTCCAAGCGTCCAAGCTGATGGAACCCATTGTTGATGTGCAAGCTGTACCGGGAGTACCTACTGTAACGACAATGCAAAATGTATCGAGCATACCGAATGTATCGGGTGTACCTAACATAGCCGGTGTGCCTAACATGGCGAGTGTGCAGGGCGTGAGTGGCATGCCCAATGTCTCAGGAGTGCCGTACGTGGTGCTCAATCAATCGGCACCATCGTTACCACCAGCAGCAGCAACAGCAGCATCGGCACCACCACCGCCACCACCTCCTCCTCCTCCACCTCCACCTCCACC